CACGGTTCATGGCAGGTAGCGGTCTTTTCACGTGCCGGCTTCGTTTAGCCTCTCAGGTTGGATGATTTCCCCTTACCATAAGCGCGGGCTATTTTCTGTGTTTTAAGTTCTCCTATCTGTGTGCCACGTTCAGCACTTACTTTCATAACATGCTGTCATGGAAACTCAAACCTGTGTATTCGGTTATATTCCATCCTTAGTGTGGTGTCTGCGTTTCGTACAATGTTCAGATTACTATGCTATATATCGCCACCTTGTGGCCTTGTTTAGATAATTACGGTTAATTATTTCGGTGCTTTGATGTATGTTTAAGTTTTCTGTGTGTTAATTGTTCCCTGAATGAGAGTAGTTCCGGGTTTCCCTCACTATGACTATGAGGTCTGTTTAAGCACTATAGCTCCAGGTCACGCTAAAGGCTGTGTACCATGTCATTTTGACACTACTCATACTCTAACGTGCTTCCGATAATCTTCCTTCATCAAATCTTTAAGTACTACATATACCATTGGTATGTACAACGGACAGGTATCACTACTGACTTTAGCCTCTTTGGTGTTCTAGGCATAAGCCTGTCATCTGTCTCTACACAGACTCGCATACAATGTCTCATAGCATGTCTTGTTATATTATTGTAGGCTCTTGAGGGTGTATCATTGACGTTGCCCACATATAGTCTACTACAATTGATAAGTCTTGCCTGAGAACTTAAAGATGCCATATTAAGTTCTGTCTAACTACCAGGTAGGCTATTACCCTTATGAGATACATTATGTTATGGTTACATTTTCTGACGCAGACATGATTCTCCTTTCCACATAACTTTAGGTGCTCGAAAAATTACCGATCCATCAAACGCTTGGCATACAATTTTAATTTAGTACATGCAGGTATGTTTTGCCCATTAGCTCATATGGGTATTTTTATGTTTCTATCTGTCCTTTAGACTAGTAATATTACTGGCTATTAGGGTAATAGGTTCCATAGTTATCTTTCTCAGGCCTTCTATGCCTCATTGTTGTGGAAATAAGATATTAACCTAATTTTTAGTTAGTAAAATGTCTATTTACTCATTTAACGATAATCAGCATTATTCTACTTTTATGTGATTAATTAAAATGTCCGCTAGGAGCTTCCCCCCTAACATCAACTAACTACTTTGTGTAACAAGATGGCGCTGGAATCTGGGGGAGACCCTCATGATACCAGTGACATCACTCCTTGTAGGCAGAGCATTAAGATAACCACTTAACACCTAACCAATTAATGATGTATTATTTCATATTATCTCTGACAATGCATATGATGTATTTTTTGCTTTAAAAGGGACTTGCCGCCCCCTCTGAATAAACATTCCCCAAGTTTTTCATCAACCTGAAACTTGTGTCTGGTGTGACTTACTTCAGGGAGCATGCACGCACTGTTTCTTTAATTTGGCCAGAGCCAGATACACAAAATAATCAATTTATTGATTGATTTCCACTTCAATTGTCGCCCAACGTGGGGCCCCGGATTTGCCGGTTCGGAGGGCCGGAAACCAACGGACCTGAGCGGACCTCCGGAAAGTGGGACAACCGGAGCCTGATCACCTCCACAATACAGCCGTTGCCTGTATTTTCCTGTTTTGTGTCGGTCTGCCTCCGCTACCACTTCCGGCTTCCAGAAGGCTACAAGACAGGTAATCCCTTATCCGGTGCCTCTTTTAATGAACCTGTCGATTGTCTATCTGCCTCCTGAGTGTTTGTATGAATGTGTGTGACGGCCGGTGCATGTGTTTTCCTTTTAAACTTTAGCTTGACTGCCTAGTGGGCAGCCGTTAAGGGGCTGGGAACCACCCGGGTAACAGGGTTGGGGTATTACGTACAGCCGGTAAGGGGCTGGGAACCACCCGGGTAACAGGGTTGGGGAATTACGTTCAGCCGGTAAGGGGCTGGGATACAGCCGACGAAGGGCTGGGTACCACCTGGCGGAAGGTGGGGTTTTTACTGTAGACCTGGTAAAGGGTCGGATTACAGGGTTGCAGCCTAGAGAGAAAGGCTGGGATTGTTACTATTTGCTGTTTGGTACTATCTGTTTTAATATGTACATGGCCATATTATACTCTGTCATTCTGTGGATTTTGTTTAATTGTTGCTACAGTGTGGGTACCCTTGGTGTGTGCGTGTGTGTCGTGTGGCTGATCCTGGATTCTGGGGTTTACACTCATCTCTATGTGTGTGATTTCTGTAAATGCCTTTTGCTTAGTGTTGCCACGTTTATCTTTTCCTTTGTTCTTTATCTTTCTTGTGCCTGCTGCCCAGAGCTGTGTTAGTCACCCACGCTCGCTCGTTCTGGTCCGTGGCCACCATCTCGGGTGGGCAGACCCCTGTGACTAGTCTAGGTTTAGGGAAGACGCACGGGACCCAGGTCCTCATGGCAGTCGAGCACTGTAGACTTTCCTCTTTCTTCTTCTCCCTCCCCCTGTCCCTGTCACGTGGAACTCTTTTGTTTGGTCAAGATGGGACAGGAACATGCTAGACCTGCTGTTACGGTACCTCCAGTAATAAATGCACAAACCGCCGTTTAGTGAATGCTACCCGTTCGCAATAATGTGGTCTGGTAGCGCATGCAGTATATCCATGCGAACCGCCAGCCAGGGAACACTCCAAACTCCCGAACGGTACCTGTACGGCTCCTTCCCTTCACGAGCTCCAAATGCACTGTGGTGAAACCGGCCTCGCCACGTGTCCTTGGAGGGGGCTGCTTGCCCGCCTCTTGCCTTTGGACTATGGACCAGACTTTATGTGAATGTATTAACCCAGATAGCTATGCCATGGAGCCCATTCGTGTAGTTAAAGACTTTGGCTCCATGGCAATTGAACTGTGTGAATAGGATCTGAGCGCTATTCGGTAGTTTTGTGCGCTCAGATCCCAGCTATCTGGGGATATGTGACATGTCTGTGTTTTATGTATAAAATGTGACTTTGTGTATTTTATAATATTTTAATGCTTTGTGCTCACCATGTGCATAATGGAGTTTTGTGTCTGTCCTGGGAGATAATTTAATTACTTCTCAATTTAATCTCCAGGATAGAAGACTCTGAAACTGGTTTGGGCCGGAAAGCCATGCTTCATTTAGTCACATAGGACTTTCCCTTAACTTTTGAACCCCTGGTCTGATTCATGCCATTTTTTAATATGTTGTTCCCCTGAATGGATTGATTATGAAAATGTATGTTTTATGTTTGTGACAGGAATATTTTAGAAGTTATAAATATTGTGTAAAAACTGTATTCCTCTGCCGGTGATAATGAGATTACCCATTGTGTTTAGTAATCATATCACAGGCAGAGGGGAGGATTTTGTGTGGGAGTGTCTGGGTGTATTGTACGGATTGATTGGTTGTTTTGTAACGCCCTGTGGGCTGTACTATGTTTGTGGATTGGGAATAAAAGAGGCTGTATGTGACAGTACAGGTTGTTCCTGCTTAACCCTCAAAGTGAAGTGTCGTCTCATTATTGTGGGAGGATTCATGGTATGCTGTTCCAGTTTGACTGCTAGGAGTGTAAACCTATTCGCATGGTTTTTCCTATTCGGCTGTATACAACATTCATATGCTTGAGAACATTCATATGCTTCTCCGGTTCGGTGGTTTTGGTGTCTGCTGTAGTGCTTGGAGTCCTCAGGAAGCGCTAGGAGCATCCTTCAACGGAGGTACCCAGTCGGGGTGCCAGGTGATCCATTACATTGGTGGCAAGCGGTGGGATGGCATCCTAGTGCGAGGTAAAGCAGCTCAGAGACACAGTTCGTTTGGAGTTACAATTTGAGGGCAACGCCAGTACCCGTACAGCGCCCCTATCTACGAAGGAACTCAGAAAATGGAGGAGAAGTTGCAAGATAGATTGTACTGTTACGTATCCCTGAGGCCAGGAGCAGTGTCAGAGGAAGACATGTTGAGGTACAGAGAGAGTGCCAGAGCTGGGTTGTGGGACGAAGCCCTAGAGGAAGTACAGTATTCGCAAGGGGATCGGCGCCACAGCAGAAGGCAGCGAATCCTGGCTCGAATGGCAGAGCGGATGCACCTCCTGAAGAAAAAGACCGAAGAAGCATGGGTGATTAGACTCGAGATTTTAGTATATGCAGAACTGGCGCTCGACGACGCATACCAGGCGATACAGTGGTACGCAGCTCAGTGTGTCCCCGAGTTGGCAGAGTATGAGTTCCCAGAAGGCGGAGGTTACGCTGGCCCTGGCCTATTTTGGGACAATATTGACGATGAGGATTTTGGGAAAGCTACTGACTCTCGTTTTTGGGACCTGTGTTACGACCGAGAAGACATGCTGGGGCTCCCTAGTGCTATTGACCTCGAGGCAGACATACAGTATTTGGTCACCAAGGAATGGAACCTGGAGTGGGATTACCTGCGACTCATCAATGAGGCCCGGGAAGAGACAGCCGGTCCTTTTTCCCAACAGCAACCAGCGGTACCAGAGGTAGCGGACCTCCTAGACTGGTCCTGCGAGGGTTCCCAGCGGCAGTGTGTGTCCCAGGGAGCTGAAGGTGTCGTCCTTCCTTCCCAGCGGCAGTGTGTACCCCAGGGAGCAGAAGGTGTCGTCCTTCCTCCCCAGCGGCAGTGTGTATCCCAGGGAGCTGAAGGTGTCGTCCTTCCTCCC